AACCGTACGCGCTATCGACTATCTGCGATCCGTCGTACAGCGGTTTCTCACCGCTGCCTATACTGTCGAACTCGTAAACAACAATGGCTATACCATCCGTAGCAAGGTACCTTTGAAATTTATCAATTTCTAAAGAGCTAATTGTTTTTGAAATTTACCCCGTTGACGCCGTACAGCGCTCCATCTCTCATGCAGTTCCCCAGAGCATACTTCCCCGCGTTGAGCGTATACCATCGCCACAGCGAGCGATCTAGGTAGACAGAGATTATCGGTGTTTATTATGGTAAGTGTAGAGTGTTTTTTTACAAACTCGTGCGCTAATCGCACGCGACCCGTACCCCGCGGCACTTCGACTATACACGACTCTATGACAAAAGATCTGTCTATTTGGAACGCCTGGGCGCTCTGTGCGACGGACGATATTACACCTCACACGTCGTTATCAAGAAAGTCTCGAGCCGGTCTGTACGACAGCCACGCGGCTCCGCACGCAAAACTGTCTGATTTAATCGTCAGACCTATATAATCTCGTGCGGTACACGAGCTTGTAAGGTACGCGTGTAAATCTCGGACAGCGCCCTGCAACCAGGATACGGTATTCGTATCAGGATCTTGGAGCGGCCGTCTGATAGCCATTGTAATTTCGCGTCCGTCTAAACGAAACCGATTTCTGCGACGCGTCGTTTCGGATTGTACGGTGAACCTATGCCCTGGCGGTAACACGTCGTTATCGATGACTCCATCGTTGGCGGTGTCTTCGTCGTCACCACTCTGCGACCGAAGAAGGGGTCCCAAGCCTGTCTGATATTGCGCGCCCGCATCTCCCGCATCTAGCGTTTGGAAAAAGAGTTTTTTATTATTGTTTTTGTTATTAAACAAAAAAAAAAGAAAGAGTATTCGACTCATACTGAATTCTCATTCCTCTCGAGGATTAAACATCGACCCGATGTATGAGAATACAGCGTCTAACAGGTTTTCATCATCATCATCCCCTACATTTTTAAAGTTAACAGTTTTGACAAAGAGGACTTTAAATGTTAAAGAATATTTCTTTCTACGCTACCTTCCTCGAGGGTAGCCGCTGCGCTCGGGGCCCCATCGCGCCCCGCCACTGCATCGGCCGCTTCGTCGGCATTCGCTACCTCGTACACGTCGTTCCTACGAACCCATAGCACCGGTTCTTCAGCGTCGTCGTGCTCCTGCGGAGACCGTGCGTTGTCCGGTGCAATATGGTTATCGTAGCCAGCAGCCTCCAACGGCTCTACAACTTTTTTTTTTTACTTTTTATTTTCACACAGATGAGTTTTCAACGGTGTCTGTTAATTTATAATTATTACATTGATAGCGCTCGTTAGAAGTGCTGGACGTTGTGGAGCGGTCATCATCATCATCGCCGTAGACACTGCGATCGCTAGCGGCCGATGCTATCGACATGATTTCATCTGTAAAAAAATTATGAAGAAGATCGCATTGTTTTTTTCTCCTTTTGCTTCCGATACTGTTTAACGCATACCCCACGTATTGTGAAGCGATTCTTCACCCTCTTCTTCTTCTTCTTCTTCTTCTTCCTCCTCCATCACCTGCACGTCCAGTGTTGTCGACGGACTTGCTACTTTTTTTTTTAATAAAACGTAAATTAGACATAATCTTTTTTTTTTTTTAAAAAGTATGTTTTACCGTTAGCACTTTGCATCATCGTCGCCGTGCTGGTG